GGTCTTCAGGAACACGATGGCCTCGAGGAGGTCACACATCCTCTTCTTCTCCTTGACGGGTGGCCCCCACAGCCATGACGGCGGTACCTCTTCAATCAGGCGCTCGGAGAAGATCGACAAGGGAGTGGCAGGGTCGTTCTTTAGGTAGAACTAATGTGAGTGCCACCCCTTGTTGGATCTGGAGAGCTGGCAAGGCATGTACTCGGCCACCCACTGCCCCTGGAGGTGGATGCCCATGCATCCCATCGACACCGGGGTCTCCCGGCCTCTCCTTCTTCTTGATCAAGGAGATGGAGAAGAAATATCTCTAGAGCTCGAAGTGGAGCTCGATCCCTAGGTACCCCTCGCACATCACGATGAAGGCCGTGATGTGCTAGATCCCATTGGGGTTTAGGTGTTGTAGCTCGATCTGATAGTGGTGCAGCAGACCCCGAAAGAACGGGTGAGAAGGAATCACGAGTCCGCTCTCGTGGAAGGGCATGAAGGACACGATGAAGCCATCGGGTGGTGCCGGCGCATCCTCGTGGCCGGGCACAAGCCACTCTGCCGCATCGGTTCTCCCATGGAGAAGACCGCGCTTGACGAGGCCCTCCATGTGCGCATGGGTAACATCAGAGCGGTACCACAAATCCATGGAGGATGGAGGTGGCTATGGAGAAGCAAAGGCGGCGGTGGAGGATCGAAATCTATGGATCTAGGGCTCTGGCGGTGGATTAGCAACCACGGTAGATCCAAATGGTGGCGGTGGAGAAACAAAGAAGGTAAGGTTGTAGTTTTGGTGTGCAGGAACACAAAGGGGAGGCCGCTATTTATAGGGCGGAGCAGAATGAGAAGGTGAACCATCCGCCTAGATTCACGCGCCCACTGCGTCGCGTCACGTCACCTCCCTTCGAAGATCGCCCGCACGCTATCTCTGGCCATGCCCTTGAAGGATACGCCGGATGATGGTTCGCCCATTCAATGGGCCTAGAACCGTCGTAGGCAAAAAGGGATCCTAAGCTAAAAACGCTCCCACGACCCATTTAGGACCAGGAGTTCAAGGTTGGCCCACCGATGGGTTCACAGTAGCTCTAGGCCACCCTTAGAGCGAGGGGTGGAAAGGGATGGGTCCACTAGCGGCCAGTACCCGGGTGTACGAGCGCCGCTGGCATCCCGGCCCATATTCGAGTCTTGGTTGGTTCCCAGTCCATGGTTTTTCCTCAAAGAAAGGCAATGAGCCCTTGGTACCAACCAAACGGACCCAAGAACTATATGGACTGACCGCCAAGAGTCTGGAGTCGGTCACTAGCTGACCCATGTTGGACCCCTGCAAACAGGAAGCTGGGGCCCCACTCGGACTAGCCCGTTAAACAGCTCATCGAGCACCCTGTTTTGTCCATCACAAAGAAGAGCTGACCCTTGATCGGACCCCTGCTACGCGCGAGGGCTCGAGGAAAGTTGGACTCTCATGGAGACCGAACGTGTGGTCGTAGTACGACGACGGACCAATCGGATCCTAGGGACCGGAATCAAGAAAAATCTTTCCGACCTCCCGAACCCTACGGTTACATGCCCCCAAGAAGACCGATCATGACAAAAGGGAACCGCCGCCCTACCAGGACACGCCGTAGGCTACAAAAAGAAGGCTAAGGCCCTCAGAGCCCTCCTGTCTAGAAAAGCCTCCAAAGGAGTATTCTACTCCTTCGTAGGCTCGGAGACTACTGTCGGGTATCGATATTAGGGATACCCAAAGCAAGAAAGTTAGCGCCCATGCTGACTTCCCCGGATGGGGCAAGACGTATTAAAACGTCTCTCCCGACCCCAAGGCCGCGGGCTCTGCCTCGCCCAACCCCAAGGTCGTAGGCTCCATCTTGCCCAACCTTGATGCTGTGGGGGTCTCGCCTAAGGCCGCGGGCTCTGTCTCACCCGACCACGAGGCCGTGGGCTCCGTCTCGCCCGATCCCTAGGCCACGGGCTCCATCTCGCCCGACTCCTTGGGTTCGTGCTCCGTCTCGCCTAACCCCTCGGGTGAGGGCTCTGTCTCGCCCGACCCCAAGGACGTGAGTTCCATCTCGTCCAATGGGGACTCATACCACCGCCAACCACTCTAGGTCCAAGCGTATGGGCCTGGGTCAAAACTCTGACACCAGGGAAGAGACTGGCATGCCTCGATGTAACCCGTGGCCATGGCGGGCCGTACCTGAGGATTCACATCAAGAACAGCGTCGGGCATGCCGGTGCTGTTCTGCCTAACCCTCGTACGAACGCTGACAAGCGCGTCAGTTCACCATGACGTCCGTTGGGACGAAATGGAACGCCATGACTGGTAGATGACGCCTACGCATGGCGCCAGTGATGAATAGGGCCTCGACGTGGAGCCATCCCAGTTGACATCTATAGGATCGGCAGGACCCGCATGAAGGAAAAGAAAGACTCGGTGATCCTGGAAGCCTTATTATCTCTCTTGTTCTTCTCCTTTTCCTCCACTGTAACCCGAGCTTTCCCATCACCTATAAAAGGGAAAGCAGGGCGCCCCATGAAGGGGGGTCCAGATCCGCACAAGACCGAACCACGAGATAAAAACACAAGAGCACGACACGAGCACACAGCTGAGCAGCGATCCAGCTCTCAGCACCTGTTCACTCCTTTCCCCAGAGACTTGGGATCCTTTCCCTCTCTCGCCTGTTTGTAACCCCTACTGCAAACCAAGTGCCGGTAACACGAGCAGCAGCTAACTAGATGTAGGGATGTTCCGCCCGAACCAGTATAAACCCTTGTGTCCTCTGAGCACACCATCAGAGCCAGACGTACAAATACAAATTTACTCGTCGGTGGTCAAAAACACCGACAATACTCTCACGAAATCAATTTCATGAGGTGACTCTCATGAAATACCAAACTCACACAAAATCAGTTCATGAAGGTGGCCTTTCACGAAATACCACAAAAACCCGTCATGAAAACATCGATGCAAACCTAGTGACAACGTTATTTTCATGAGGGTGGCTGTCATGGACTTCCCGTCATGAAAATAATCTATGGCGGTGAATTCTCACAAAAATGTGATTTTCGTGCGTCTATTATCGTGAGAGTTGATGCATGACGGTGTACTCTCACGCATTATTTTCGTGAGAGAAACCATAATTCGTGATGTGTTTTGCACTCTCACGAAATCTCCGGATTCTGGTAGTGGGAATTATTTGATCCCGTCTCTGGTACAAACTACAACAATTTTAGTTCTTATGTTCATTCATTTGATCGATCAATATGTTTATTATATATCTTTGGAATTGCAAGTAGACCATATGTGCGTATACTTATCGGCTGACCCCCATCCCGCGCCCCGTCCACCTCGTGTCATCGCGGCGCTATGGCGTGCACCATGGCCACCCAAAGATACTGTGGCAGGAAGGGGAGGCATACGCCTACACCTGGGTATACGCTGGGCAGCTCTCGACGTCCTCTAGACTCGAGCTTGCTGGTTACCGCAGTTCCCCACCAGATAGGCCGTGGTCGCTGGCGACACTGTGTTTTAAGTGTTTCAGCCATTTTAGACTTATGTTTCAATTGTTTCATCTGGACGATGCAAAAGTAGATCTACGATGATGCATATGTTGCAATGACAATGTACACATGTTGCACGCCTATGTTTCAAGTGTTTCAAACGTATGTTTCAAGTGTTCTATCTGGATGTTGCATCTGTTGTTATGGCTCTACCCGTATGTTTCAAACGTAGATTTCAAGTGTTTCATAGTTATGTTGCAAGTGTTTCATCTGGATGTTTTAGATCTAGATGTTGCATATGTTGATATGCCTATACACACATGTTTCAAGTATTTCATCTTTTTAGGCGTATGTTGTAAATGTTTCATCTAGATGTTTCAAAAGTAGATTGGGGTGTTGCACGACGCCGATGGCTGGTGGACAGCCCGCTGCTGCTGGGCATAGCCGTGGGTCAACCCACGTAGATTTCCCCTGTGCGGGTGTGGGGATGCGGGTGCTGGCGTTGGGTGGGATGCGAACGTGGGTTTCCACGTGCTGGGCGGGATGCGGGACAGGTGTGGGAGCCGTGTTCGGACGTGACATCCCATCCGGACGTACGGGCGCTAGGCTTCCCGTATACTTATTGTCGCAAAATATCTTGCTAATTTTATGGATTCAAATTAAATATATAGACCCAATTTGCCTAAATATATCTAACCGTTCATACGAGTGAATGAAATGATCAAAATATTAATAAATAACTAAGAAAAGCAAGGTGACTTGACCCCAACAAGAAAGAAGGAGATTGTGAGTTTGTAACCACATTTCGTGTGTATATCCTTCTTATGCTTAGGGACTAAGCATATACATCAACACTGACCTGCATGGGTATATAAATATAGAGAAAGAAAAAGCAACACAAAATAAAGGATTCCTTGCGAACGAATAATCCACTAATAATTTGGTAAAAGACAGAGAACATAAGTATCATGCATGCCAGCCATTGCTTCGTCTAAACTTCGTCTAAACCACATCCAAAAGCCAGTAAATGACAAATGAACACGCAGGTTAAATTAACCGTTGTTAATCTCCGAGCGAATCTTCTTTGCAAGCTGCAGGTTGCAGCTAGGGCAAAAAGATTGGAGTTCAATTCGTCCGTTCCTCCCACTTGCACGAACTACACATGCACGATATGCGGAAGTAATAAATTATTACTAAAGCAACGCTGCGGTGGTATATCCATGCATCTCTCGCGAACCAGGGTCCAGGGCTTTTGTACGCGTAGATGAGCACAAACACACGATGTCAAAAGCTTGCACACGCTTTATTACCTTTTCTTTTAGTTTCTTATATTATATATGTATAGACAGCACGACAGCAACAAGGTGAAGGTGTGCCTCACACTCTCTGTGTGGAAACCTGCTTATTGCAGTATATATGTTTCTCGCTCTCATCACTTGTGCGGTGTGCAGAATATTGCAGAGCGCTTGAGTATAGCTAAGCGCAAAAAAACTCAGCGGCGAGCTGCTCAGCGATCAATGGTAGTGGAGTACTTGTCCGGGTGGTCGCTGTCGTCATGGATCAGCCCCGGCGCGGCGTTGTTCCTCTTCGTCAACGTGCTCATCGGCGCCATCGTGGTCACGTCCCGCGGGCACCACCAAGGTGACCGCGCGGCGGCGGCGTCCACGCGGAGGCTCTGCCGGAGCGCGTCGTCCATGGTCCTCGACCGGCTCCGCTCCTTCTCCATGTTCTCCGTCCACCCCGCCGTCCCCGTGGAAGAGTACTACAGCACGTCGTCCCCCGAACTGGAACTGGAAGCAGAGGAGCTGGAGCAGCAGCACCAACCAGCCGTTGCGGAACCAGCGAGGTCACCTGTTGCGGAACCAGGCAAGGAAGAGGCGGCGGAAGGGGGACAAGACATGTCCACCAGCTCGGACGACGAGGCCGCTCACGATCTGGCGTTGCAGGGTCACGGGCAGCAATCGCCGTCAGGAGATGTTGTCACGGCCGACGAGGCAACTGCGCCGGCCGGGGAGAGAAAGGGGAAGAAGGTGGCGGAGCAGGAGGAAGCAACCATGCAGCGGGCACCTGCGTGCAGGCGGGAAACGGAGGAAGCACTGGAGGGGAAGGCGGCGCTGAACGCGCGGGCAGAGTCGTTCATCCGGAGGTTCCGGGAGGATCTCAAGCTGGAGCGCCTCAACTCCATCATCAACTACACCCGCACACTCCGCCGCGGCGCTGGCGCACCATCGCCCACCGGGCAGTAGCTCCCCTGTGATCGGTGGTCAATAGTTTTGGTTTGTTTGCTCAATGTGTAGAGTATTTGATTTTGTTTGCTCATCACAACTCACAAGAGTGCGAGAACAGATATTTGAATTTCATTGTGATTGTGTACAGCTGTCAGCTGTGGCTTCCTTATATATATGGGTAAACAAATCTCGCCACTAGTCCATATGATTAATGTATATCCATTATTCCATTATCAAAAAAAAAAACTTTCAGACAAACTTGCTTGAGTTCAAATTAGAAATCAAATTTACTAAACAATAAAATTGTTTAGAGTTTTTAGAGCATCTTCAAGGGACTTTCTATATCGTGTCTAATTGTTAGGAATAAAAATTATGGTGAAAAAAATATTCTCCAACAGCATCTTTAACTGATACCTAATATAGACATCTTCTATTCTGAATTTCTCGCTAGCCAAAGATAGAAAACGAGAATGGTTGTCTAGAGTATAAACAAGATATAAAAAAAACTGTTAAATGGTGAAAAAATATATAGAAAGCAATTTTTATGAAAATGACCCTCCAAATAATGATTTAGATAGTAAAAATTAGAAAGACTCTTGGTGATGCTCTAGTTAAGCACATAGCGTAGTGCCCGGTAACACCTATCACTCTATTCACGTTACACATTATAAGGATAACCTCTGTCTCTCCTTCCCTCGGGGAACATAACATATTTAAAAAAATTATCTTCGGTTCTCCATCTTTGACTCAATCAGTCTGTCATCCCTTACTCTCACTCTTCTCACTTTGAGTTTGGAGTTGCAAAATATTTATAGATGCCACATCACTCATGTCGTTGCCCATGCCTGGTGCTCGTGCGAATGTATGTGGCTTGTCTTCCATATATTTCTTAAACTCACAACCGATACACATAATAACCATCTATTTAAGTTAAGACACTGTCATATCAATTTTCCATATGGAATTAATCTTTTATTGTATCAATATTTATACAAGTCTTGAAAATTTGATTTAAAGTTGAGCCAAATCCAATTAATACAACAAATTAACTAGCTTTTATCATTGGCTTTAAGCACCGTGTAACAAATTATACGTCCCGTCGCAACATGTGGCTTAATATACACTGTGTGTGTGTGAAAAAAAAAGAGGCCCGGCGACGTTTTCAGCCTAGTCTCATGTTCTTATTGGGCCTGAAATCATTAGTATTCGTGTGATATTCCTTGTGCTATCTTGGAACTTCCAATCTGAATCCTTACAACAATCTGATCTACTACTACCTACCTCCAGACAACAAAATATGTAGATAGTACATTGTATAGCAGCTAAGCAGCACGCACGAACGGACAAAAAAATATTACTCATCCAATCAACAGATCAGAGGCAATTTATAAATTAAGTACTCGGAAACGACCACAGAATATCATGGTATGTAGTGAACATCGCGAAATGGCAAACAACAAAGACGACCGCGGGTACGGCTACCTCTACCTCTACCTGGATAATCACAGAACATCGATGAGGTACCCCAAAGCAGTAATTAATTAGTTTAGACTAGGATCGGGCCGGCGACTAGTCATGTTAATTAACTATCCAAAAGCAGTAGTAAACGACAGTGAACACGCAGGTGAAACCATTGTATAATCCCCTCCCGAATCTTGTCGCAGGCTGCAGCTTCGGCTAAAACAATGGAACAGAATTCACTTGCACGTTTTTGAACTGCACATGCACCATTTTAGCCGGTTACAAAGTAACTTATTCTGTAGCCACTTTGAGTTACGATAATTACTATGTTAATTTACGAGATTATAGTAACACCTTACTAAGTGGTTTATTATAATGTTATGGTAAATATCTCCATATGTTATAGTAACCGACTATCGTAAATATGTATTGACATTATCGTAAATTAGTATATAAAATTATCATAAATAGAGATAGCTACAGAATAACTTATTTGATCGCCAGTTCGCCTGCCGAACCTATACTCTCCTCTCTCTCTCTCTCTCTCTCCCATATATATATATATATATATATATATATATATATATATATATATATATATATATATATATATATATATGCTAAAGTGCAAGACAGGGAGAGACGGCAGCAAGAGAACAGGCGAGCTGCTGCTTGATCGGTCCATCGGTCCATGGCACTGGAGTACTTGACGACGTGGTGGCTAAGACCCGGCGTGGCGTGCTTCCTCTTCTTGAACGCGCTCGTCGCCGCAATCGCGGTCACGTCCCGGTCCCGCGCCCAGCAGGGCGGCCGTGCGGCGTCGACGCGGAGGTGGCTCTGTAGCAGCGCGTCGTCCATGGTCCTCGACCGCCTCCGGTCGTTCTCATCCGCCATGTTCTCCACCTCCACGCACCCGTCCGTAGAGCTCTGCTACTACTACTACGTATCCCCGGAAACAGAGGAAGTGAAACAGGTGAGCGGGGCGGGGCGGCACCTGATCGCCAGTTCGCCGTGCCGGAACCTGCGTAGTCCACGGCGGCGATTTCGATGATGTCCCAGAACGCAGAGGATGAATCGGCGGCAGGGGCGGTGAAGGCCACGAGCTCCGACGGGAACGGGACGTGCGCGCTCGGCCAGGTGGGGCGCCATGCGCAGGAACCGATGCCGTCACCACCACCACCGGCTGCTCCGGCTGTGGCCGCGGTCACCGCGGAGACAGCTGGAGTGGCGGCGCTGGTGCGTGCACCGCCGGAGGAGGAGCCGGTGACGGTGGCAGAGTTTGTGAAACGGAAGCACCGCCACCGCGATCATGGTTACGCGGTGGAAGGGAAGGCGGAGTTGAACGCGCGAGCGGAGCAGTTCATTCGGCAGTTCCGGCAGGAGCTCAAGTTGCAACGGCTTGACTCCATGCTCAGCCGCCACACCCACACGCTCAGCACCGGCTCGGGCGCACCAACAAGCCGGGAGCTCCGATCCGGTTGTTCGATATAATACCTCTCTTGTTGTCCGAGGAGCTAGCGATTCCAGATTTATTTCTTCATAGTATTAAGGAACAATAGGCTCCTCGATATCGAAAGAGATCACACTTTGCTGGAGGGCTCGATATCGAAAGTGATCACACTTTGCTGGAGGGCATTCTGGTTCTTTCCAAATTTGCTAATGGATACTTCATCCAATAAAATGTTAATTTCTAGCTGTTGATGAGAGAGAAGGACGATAAAATGTCTGTTTTGCCCCTGCCCCTTTCTTCTACCTTGGTCCGGCCGAGACGTCGCCGATGCGGCGAGTGCCTCGACGACGCGGGCGACGAAGCCTGGCCGCCGCTGCGTCGAGCGGCTCTAGAGCACGCAACAGGGCAGGGCGGCGCGGAGCTCGCTGCCGTAGGGGAAGCGCTCGCGCCAGGGCAGGCCGCATCGGGGACGCCACACAGCTCTTCTTCTTCCTCTTGAATCACCGGCTGTCGGGGATGGGGCAGAGGCTCTGCGCGCTGCCGAGGATGGCCTGCGCGCTCGCTAGAGAGGAGCTTGCGGCGGCGAGGGGCCTGGAGGTCGCCCGCGTGGTGCTCGCGCCCGCGTCGGAGCGTGCACGCGGCCGAGCTCGGGCCCACGACGGTGCCCGCGCGTGGCGGAGCCATTGCCCGCGGCTGAGCACAGGGGCGCCGGAGGAAGCTGTTGGAGTTGCGACAGCGGCCGGCCATGGAGGAGGGGACGAAGCGCCGCTGGAGGAAGCCACCGGAGAGGAGCTCGCGCCGACGACCGGCCATGGAACTGGGAAGAAGCGTTGCCGGCATGAGCGGTAGAATTGCGCTCCGCTGTCGAACTCATCGAGATCTGGCACGTCGCCTTCCTGCACTCCATTCGGTAGCCACGAAGCCCGGTCGGCGTCCCTCCCCCAACCGGCGAGCAGGTGGCAGATCGAAGTTGGAGCAGAAGAAAGGGGCAGGGGTAAAAAGGATATTTTACCACGCTTCTCTCTCCTCAACTACCAGAAATTAATATTTTATTAGACGAACTGTCCACCAGCAAATTTGTAAAGAAACAGAGTGTCCTCCAGCAAATCGTTCTATTTTGGATGTCCAGCAGCAAAGTGTAGTCACTTTCAGTGTCCACCGCGCGTTGCTGCAGTAAAGTTTGTTGCTTTTAAGGAGGATTTATTTGAGTAATATAAGTTCTCACTACCTGAGTTTGGCTTCTTATGCAACCAAGAACACATGTGAATCTAGCTTCTGATAGATGAGGGAGAGAGTTAGAGGCGGAAGAAAAAAATCGCTCTTTAATATTATATTAGTAAACATTCTAATTTGTTTCTTGTACCAATAACAATGAGCTAGCTATTGTTGTTGAATTTAAATAGGCTTGGTCCAATCTTAAATCAAATAAATTTCATGTTGCCCAAAACCCAATATGTTGCCCACGTTTGCACCAACATGGGCTACACGGCCAATGTGTCGCCCAAGAACCGAAGGAGGTTGCTCTATTTGCTTTAGCTTGTATGGACAACTGATGATTATATTTTGGTACAAGTTGTATGCACTAAGGTCATTTGCCCAATGTTAAATCAAATAAATTCTATGTTGCCCACAAACATGGAGCATTGAACAAACTTTACAATGGCATAGGGGAATATATGGTTCGCTTCACGAAGTGCACTAGCATCAGCTAGCCTTTTCCTCATCTGTCATTTCAGGAGGGTTTAGTGAAGAAGGCACCCAATGCTTGAACTCATTGTACGGCCAACTCTTGCTCTTGTCATATGGGAAAGGCCTAACCTTAGGATCGACCATTGTCGGTCCATCTATCCACCGAAAGGATCAACATGGCTCAACCCTCCAATGAAGTGTCCATACTAGCTTCAGTTGACATGTGTAGTAAAGCACTCGCTATCGATTCGGAATGCCTTGATTGCTTTACATGTATAGGATGGCCACAATCACAGTTAGATATAGGAATAGCGGGAAGCACAATCCATTTTCATCGTCACTATGCATGGGATAGTCAGCCATGTTCTTTGGGAATAATCAAAACATTGGACCTAACATCATATAAGTAAAATATATTGCAAAAATTCATTATATATGCATCGCCAAAAATTATTTCACTAAGTTAAATATACAATGTCTAACTTCCTTCAACCCAATTTGGTATAGCTATGTAACTCTAAACATTACCTACGGACAAAATATCCATCTCATTGTTAATTCCAATCTTAATCCATAACCCTAGCTCAAACAAACATAAAAAATAATGCATTTACATAATATGTACTCTTTCAAATTAAACTCGACCCACTACTATCCTCTCAGTCTCTCACACTAAACATACCATTTACTCAAATTAAATGACAGTTTCAACAATTAACCTTAAGTCAAACACTAATGAAAAATTTAATTGAATTGAGACTCAAAATAACTACTTCAAGAGTGGAAAACCAACCTTAGATGCTGGGAACTTCTTAAGGCTTTGTTTGGCTACACATAAATCCAACCCAATCCACATGGTTTGGGAGGAATTGAGGTGAAACTTAAACTAAATTCCACCTCAATCCCTCCCAAATCACGTGGATTGGGGTGGATTTGTGTATAGCCAAACAAGCCCTAAGGAATCAGATTTTGTAGATTTTGGTCCAAAGATGCAGATCTATGCACAACGTACAACTTGAAAAGGTACGAGTTAGAGAAGAAGGAAAATGGGAAAAGCGAAGGAAGGGGCTGGCCTGGCCTGCTTAATATGCCCCAGCCACACCAAGCGGGATGTGCGGTAATGTTGATGCGATAGACGACTTGGGTGCGGCAAAGGCGGGGCCATTGACAAGCCAAGTTGGATCTGAGGTGCCATAGTGGCACTTTTGTTGCGCCCTATATGCACCGGCGCAGTAGTGCGGTTGTACCCCCCTCCGACCCCACCCCCACCATGTGACACGGCCAAAAGAGTTAGTTTAAAGAAAACCCCAAAATAGATTATTAATTAAAAAATAGTTAAAAATAGGCCAAGTGGCCAACACTCAAAAATCCGGGTCTTTTGTAAAAATATGCCTTCTTTTTCTACGTAGACCCATCAGTAATAGGCCGCCACTCATGTTTTGGGCTGGTTCGGCTATTATATACAATCATCACCATCATCATAGTTTATATTTGCGTAACTATACTCTTCTAGATCTGAATCATTCTTATTGTGTGTTAATATTGTTTGAGATCAATTAACATTAATAACACTCACTAATCATGTGCTGATAAGATAAATCTGGCAAGTGCTTGGTATCTGTACAGTAGCAGCATTTAAACAAGGGCATACCAGTTTCTGCCCCGTTTCGAACAAAGAGAAAAAATAAAATAATTCTAAATAACTGAAATCCTATATCCCCATGGAATGGCTTGTCTCATAGAAATTTTGGAGAAATTCCACCAAGAGTTTGATTCTCCTGATTTTTTGTTCCTTTTGTGTTACTCTCTTGTATCAAATTGCTGTGTTTTTTTACACTGCATTCTAACATTGAATCTTGTAGTTTATTGTTCTTGTTCTTAAAACCGATAGGATTCAAAAGCTTAAACGGACTCTGTTCCTGTTCTGTAGTATTTTCTATTCATAGGTTTTCTAGAATCGTTGGTTTCATGCTAGAAAAAATTGTATATGTATGCTATGCACATCAGCTCACGACCAATCACATATTCGCATCATACTAGTGCATGACAAATATTGATCCCTATAGGCACTACAAGAGAACCACCCCTTTAGCAACGCATATATCCGTTGCTAGAAGTCTATATAAGTGTTGTAGTGGTCTTTACCAACGCATATGGTATGCGTTGCTAGAGTCTATAGCAACAGATATATATGCGTTGGTAACATGTACCATTAAGTGTTGCTGGCCAGCAACAGGAATCTCCTATTGTTACCAACACTTGTATGTGTTGGTGCTTACAATAAGGAAAATGTTTCACACCATTTATTAGATGTTTCACAGATCATTATTTATTACTTTTGTGTACAGATGACAAAATAACTTTGATTTTTCACATATAAGAAATACACAGGAGTAACACATCAGAAGAGGAACACATCGTAATAGCCCTTGAAAAGTGTTATTTCACTGATAAAATAATCGTACCATGTGCATACACATTTTCTGACCACAGTGAACTAAGTTGGAATTATCTAAATGGAGTGTACAATACATAAGGACCATCGAAATAAACAAGTCTGACATGTAATCTTCTCTCCCAAAGGCTTATTTATCTAGCTAGTTACTTCTTTGATTTCTTCACTTTTCATCTCCATCCTTTCGTCCATGCAAGAATTGATCATCTCCAACAGCTGGAATGTTAATATAAATGTTTTAATTATATAAAGATAATTAGAATAAGTCAGTAAAATAACTCTGAGTTAGGTATATACATATACTCCAATTTCGTAGTAGAACATTTTTCTGTACCTTCTGATAAATCTTCTGCTAATAAGAAATTACAATCCGGAGTCCCTTAGTCAATGCATTGCTGATGACCCTGAACAAATTGATTACTCATAAATGTCAAGCAGTCTAGAAGAAGATATGATCCTACAAAATTCATTGACTAAACGGTTGTTTTTCTGCAAAAAGTTGTAAATAATCACTAGAATGGTTATCATACAAACTAACCTATATTGTAGTCCCATAGTAGAACTACATGTGATCCTGTACCTTCACGATCTTCTTAACATCTTGTATGCAAAGGAAAATAGGTAAATCTTTCAATGCACTATGCACACCAAACTATATAAGAAAAAATTGTAATTCGCAAACAGATTTAGCTGAAGCTCATTTCACTTCAAAATAAGTGAACAACAAATTTATTTCCTAGTATTTTATTAAGCACAGGCTGAGAAAGTTAGTGTGCTACCAGATGGGATAGATCCTTTGCAGACTTTCACCCCCCCAAAAAAATATGTTTAAAACAACACGTCATTCCAAATAACCAGGATTATGATTGTTGATCTGCAAGATTAATACTGTGTTAG